AACATTGTTTTATTTACTCATAACATTGTCATCAAGAATTGATACGACTAAGGTAGCAGAGACTAAGGTGGAGGATATTATTTAATGTGATCCACTTCTCTCTGGATTACCTTCAAATGTTAGGATAGAGGAGCTTTTAATTTATCAATATTGAAATAATAATCGTACATGTAAATGTTCAGAAATCGTGCAGGGTAGTGGAGACATGCTTTGAACGTACAGAGCGATAGAATTCCACCGTACTTCACGCTGCAGAGAAAGATTCTTGGATTTAGTTACTTTCGGTATTAGAAACAATGCGATTTCGAAGCAACGCGAGTGCAAATATGTTGCGCGGAAATAAAGTGCAGTATAATTTGCTTCACTGAGGGGTAACTTGTGCGAGAAACGCTAAATTAAGGTAAATAGTGAGTTGTCGATTAAAAGATCCCTAGAAATAGCGAAGGACCAATCAGAAACGTCGAGTTGTATCACGGTGTGTTCTTCATGGATGAATATCGAATGATTATTTTTAGAAACTTTGTCAACATTTTAGACAGTGCGCCAACAATTCATACAGTGCAATTTTGGAATCCACGCGTTCTTTGATTAAGTACTTTCTACAAATAATCGATCATATATATTTATCATAACGGAAAAATGGTATTGTGACTAGTAACATTATATTTCCTCGATGTCAACGGAATTTGAATTTGTCAATGTTGAAAAAAATTATCGTACATTTAAAAATGTTCAGTACGATCATTACACGACAGTAGTAATATGCCTCGAGCGGGTCGCGCGATAGAATTCCATCATACCTAACACTGGTTAGATTGATCCTAGGATTTAGTGACTTTCGTTATTTGCACCAAAACAATGCGATTTCGTGGCATCGCGGGTGCTAATAAGCTACGCGGGAATAAAATTTGGTGGAATCTGTTTGACTGAGGTTGAGACTTGTTCGACGAACACGAATATAGAGATATCGATTGAATAATATCTAGTAAGAACGGATGACCAATCGAGAGCGTCGAGTTGAGTCCAGAACATGGTGTGTTCTGGATAAAAGATTATTTTTCGAACAATCGGCGATTATTGAATTATCAGAACGCATTCAAGAGCGAATGAACGTTTTTCAATTCAAAATTAGAATGCGCTAGTAATCGAAAGTGTAGTAACAGAATTTGACAAAATTGCGAATAATATTAGATACACCGTTGAATTTCAGAAAAGCAAAAACGAATTGATAATAATTTACAGTGAAACATTGATCTTATCAAGAACTTATCAAGAACTTATCAAGACGCGAAAGTCATTCTTTCCACGATTTTGATAGCGTTAAAACGAAATTCCTTACATGGTGATTGAATAAGCGTTGATTTTGGAAACATCAGTAAGTTTATATCGACTTTATGTTTTATACTTACTTTTTATTTTATACTTGCGATGTAAGTCGTTGGCCGCCGTCGAATCAATAAAAAATTTTATATTTATTTTCGAACTCATAGTTGTTTTAGGTTTTAAGAAATTGACCAATCACAGTTGAATGTGATGAAAATAATCAACTGTAATTGGTCAATCTCTTACGTCTTAAATTCTTATTGTAGATTCGGTTTAACATGAACTATAGATTGTAATACTTCAAAGATTATCAGAACGCTTTACTGAGTTGGGCTGAGTCAGCAAATCGAAAGTACCAATAGATGTCGTCACTGTTAACGTAGTACTGACTGCGACTCTACGTATTTTAGTATGTGTTGTACAGTCGAACTAGGTGAAATAGGTTAGTTGAGACGAATTGTTAATGGTAAATGCTTATCATTATAGCAAGTCTTACTGCAATCAGTCGAATAAGGTTTGCTAGGATTACTTATGTGGATAGTAGAATTTCATCGACTTGTGTTTCTTCATTGTACGAGTGTTATAATCAAAGTCCAGTGTCCTACGCCCATCTTGTTTCCTTATCATGTGTTTCGTGATATTAGTGTGAGCTGTAAGAACTGGAGGAAATTATACGAAAGTATATTGCAGTAACGCTGGTAGAGCGTATCCAAACGATGTGTATTGGTTCCTGACTGTATACGGCGTAGCGTGGTTTGCACATGTACGTATGCATAGCATATACATAATGCATGTGTAATATTTCTTGGTTTAGTTTTTACCGAAGCTTTAATTCGCATTTAATGCGATGTAGAACTAGGTTTAAGTCTATGGAAATATGACTGAATTGTACTCATTTCTCTTCCGTTTCGATCTATAAACTTCATCGGAATAATAGCGAATGAACACAAAATTTCAGTCAATGGGAATGGCAAAAATAGATTGAATTTTAGGTAATGTCAACTTCCATTATTCTTTATTTATGAAAGTTACTGTTGGTTAGCCATAATGGCTAGTCATAATGGAAAATAAACATTTTTCATCATTCGTGATAAAATGTTAATTAATTATTTTAATGGAAAAAAATTTTTAAGATTATGTGACTCACTTTTTTTTAAGTTTTTCAGCATTACAAGTACTACTATTTTATTATTATTTTTTTATTTTTTATTATATTTTGCCAAAATATTACATATGTTTAAATAATTGTTAATATATAATGATTAATTATTTGAGATACATTTAATTCATAATTCAATAAAAACATTTCAATATCCAATTCATTTTAATTTAAGGTACAGTGACTATTCTAATTCTCTGGAGATTTTTTACGTCACATTTCGTTTCTTTATACTTTACAAGTAAATATTAAGTCGTCTCTACTGAAATATCAATCTTCTTCGCTACTATTCTGCTTCCAATAGAAGCATAATAAATTTGTTTCACATTGAAATAGATCAAATTGTAGATTTTGATGGAAATTAGACTACATTAGATTGATGTGTGATTAAATTTTTGTATTACATGATATATTTCATTACATGATGTATAAGTTAAAAGAACATCTTTCTGAGGTTAATTTAAGTAGAAAATATTATATAAATGTCATTCCGGTTTGTAAGAGTTACCAAGTTGCAAGCAAGCAAAGTTCATTAATGAATTACAATTTTTTTTAATGTCTTATTGTCTAAGTCTAACCAAATAGATCAAATATTGAAAAAAAAAACAAAACAGGAATTAAACAAATTATTCTAAATTATCTATTAGCTGCAGCAAGTATGATGCTATCTAAAATGAATGATTATAGTGTTCCAAACTAATCTCGGTTCCCTCGGTATGCAGATTGAATGGGTGAAACTGAGCAGAAGTCATGTGTCATTTTGCAAAATTCGCAGTAGTTAGTAAGGAATTAATTATATTATCTATATAGTAATGTTCCATTTATATTTTTATTAAACTTTTTTTTTTTTTTTAATTTAATCTCATTCTAGCATTCAACTGATTTGAATCTTCTAGTGACAAGATAGTTTCATCATCGTAACTAAGTTCCGCATATCACATTATAAGTATATTTGTTTAACAATTTCTCTAATTATTAACACCTTCACTTTGCATTGATAGTATATATGTAATAATGAAAGTTTCTGATTAACTGAAGAGATACTCAAAGATCATATGCTCTCTTTATCACATTTTATTTCACATTCTTTATACAAAATCTATATGAATATTTAGTCTAAATATATATTAAGTCTAAATATATATTTAGTCTAAATATATATATATATATATATATATGTTATTGATTGATATTTTTTTTATTAGTATTCTGTATTAATAAAGCTCGGTATTAATTTTTTATATAATAATCTATCACCAACTACATAAGTAACTTTTTAATAGAAGAGAACATTTAAAAAAATTATGTATTTTTGTATTTGAATGTTTGTAACTAGGTCTAATTTTTGCAAATTGAAATTATGTTTGTAGGACATTTTCTATTTACCTCATTCAACGTTAAAATAAGTCATTAATATTTGAATTTATAGATAATTAAAAATAATTGCTATTATGGCTCTGGCTTACATTCTGTAACACTACTAAAATTGTTTCTCAGTTCAGAAAACAAAATATTTTTTTATCCCAATATATAATTTTGATGATAATTTTGTTTTATAATTTTAGATTTTTAATATCATCAACACATTTTCAACCGTCCTGCTATTGGGACCTATCCTTTCACTTTATCTGCAATATCATATTGCTTTATTTAAGTCTCAAGTGACTTGACATTTTGACTGAAGAAAACAGTTTTTAATTCTTTTTTATTATACATCATAACTTTTATGAAACAGATAGTTTTATTTTAAAATACTTATTTTTAACTTGTGAGTAGTCCAAAAATCCTACCGACTACTGCAGTGAACACACTATATAACTGTGTGCGTAGTATTACGAGCAACTGTTTCATCGACGCCCACGATATCTGTAAATTTGGTTCGGTCGCTCTAGTTCCTTCGTATTGCATCCCGACTGTTGATTCACTAACATCTCGACTGTAGTATTTATAGACGCACACTCATGTTGTTAGTTTCCATCAAAAGTAGCGCACGTTCTGTGCAAAGTATTAAAAAGCTGAACTAAATAAAAGACGTAAGTAGTGTGATGCTCATTAAAATTTCTGCCTAAAATTGTTTAAATAATTTAAATGTATGAATATCCAAGCTGCTTTAAATATTATTGGAAACCGGTATGTTTCGTACATCCGCACGTGTGCAGATAGGTGTTAAACTGATAAATAGATAGATAGGTGTTAAACTGATAGAAAAGGAATAAGTAATAATAATTGTTACATACAATTCATTCACGTAATATCCGGAGGAGAAGGAGTGTTATGTAGATTAATTTTATTTAATAATTAATGTTTCAATAAGCTTTTTGCAAAAAAAAATAGTCCTGAAATTTTCGACTTAATAATGCAATATTAAAGAAGGAAGAGACTCTTCCCTCTGTCTTTCTTTTTCTTTCCCTTCTCTCACCCCTCCTTTCTCCCCCATCTCACTCTCTCTCTCTCTCTCTCTCTCAGCGACTCTCTCTATGAGCACTCATATGTAAACTATACGTCTAATAATATTTCTTGTAACATGACGATGTGTTATATTCAAGATGAAATAAATAGACTGCACAGAAATGTTTAATTGCAGGTAATGAAGAACTGACGTATCTTTACGAAGTCAGAAACAAAGATTTAGAGTGATGGATCAACAGCAAATGAGTAGAAAGCAGACAGTCAATTCACCGGAAGTGGCGTTAGCCAGCGAAGTATTCGACCAGTTTTGCAATGCTTCTACGTTGAAATCTATTCTGGGTTATTATAGACATTTATGTGAATTATTGAAGATCCGACCGAACATTATTAATCAGTTTTATCCGAAATTAAAGACAAAACTACGATCGTGGAAGGCACAAGCTTTGTGGAAGAAGTTTGACCAGCGGGCTAGTCATAAATGTTACTGTCGCGGCAAAGCATGTCCAAATACGAGGGTAAGTTATTTTTTATTTTTTCTATTTGTTTCCTACCTATCCTATATTAGATGCGTAAATCAATTCGGTATTTTTATCTTTAAACCATTATAACTTCGCTTTAAATTCAAATATCTCCCCACCATTTGGTAAGTTTTGAAACGCAAACTTTAAGATTTAAAACGCGCTGTATAACTTAGCGAAATTGACGAGATAATAGTTTTCAACAAAACTATTTTCGAACACCGACACCGACGAGCAGCATATCAGACACTTTCACATTCCTTTTACTTTCCAATTAAAAGAAAATGCTATCAAGGCTGCAAATATGATTTACTCAGCTTTGGAAGAAGACGCTGTAACATATAAAACTTATAAAAAGTGATATCAAAAGTTTCGAAGTGGTGATTTCTTTCTTGTTGATGAAGAACGTGCCTGGTGCGCCGAAAAAAATTTGAAGGCGAGGAGCTTGAGCAGTTATTGAGTGAAAATCCTGCTTAAACTCAAGATGAGCTTGCGTTACAATTAGGAATAATCCGTCAATTTCTGTTCGCTTACATAAGCTGGGAAAAATTCAGAAACTAAATCGATGGATTTTACACAAGCTCAGCCCAGAAATCAAACAGAGGAGGTTCGACACAGCGATGTCCTTGTTGAAGAATATGTTCAAGCCTGCATAGCCTGCAAGATCGCCAGACTTGACGCCTCTAGATTTTTATCTTTGGGGTTACATGGAAGGTCAAGTTTATTCCGAGGAGCCCACAACTTTAGAGAATATGAAAGACCGGATCGGAGAAATATTAAGACAGATGTCCTCCGAAAAATTTTAGACGATTTTTGGCATCGGCATGTGCATACAAGTGAGAGGTCGAGTTTTCGAACATCTGAAGTGATTAAATACAAGCCCGGATCTTGTCTTTATTGACTGGTTAATGCCCAGACCTTACCTTTACTAGCTGAGTCATTCCCCGCTCCTGCCTTCATTGGCTGGATCGTGTCCAGGCATTGCCTTGACTGGCTGAGTCATCTCCTGGTCTTGCCTTAGATAGCTGGATCAGAAACGATCTTACCTGTAGTTTACGAGTTATTATTTTGACACAAAAAAAACATTGTGGCCTTTGTAAGACCCTTTCATTAAAATATGGAGTAACATGTGGGATCAATTGGATCCCACATGTTACCCCATGTTTTTAACGTAAAATGTCCTCATCTATCAATTTCTGGCGTCAAAAGTAGGTCATTCCATAAAAAAAAAATTAAATTAAAGTTGGCCTTGAATAATGACATCTACATAAAGTTCACCATCGGATGTCCCCTTCCAAGCCCAACAACTTTTGTACAGAATATTTTTTTTATCTGACCATTTTCTGTTAAGTTAACAGGGATGGTCAGTTAACATGGAACACCCTGTATATACATAAATTTATTTGACGAATGATCACATTCCCGGTGCACAGGAGCGTGTGATTGGTATATTGCGCTAAAGACATTGAAACAATTGCAAGTCACTTGTGATTGGGACATCTGTAACCAGGGCAATCGTGACACCCCCTATTCGACATTAGCAGTTATAAAAAATGCAAAATACGTGGAAGAAACGATAAAAAACGTTGTATAATATGTGTATATATAAATAACAGATTTTAAGAAACATAATGATATTTAGAAACAAATATATAACAATCTCGTGTAATTTGAGATAAAACTGAAATATATAATAATACTTTAAAAATGAAAGACTTATTTGTGAAGTCCATAAGTAAGGGTTTTAGAACGACAAATAAACTAATCATATTACTTCATTTAACACTTCGAAGTTTTGAACACTTCCAATGTGCAGTGTCGAATGGACTGTGATGGCCTCTATACACAGGACAATGCTTGCTGCGTAATAAAAGATATTATAAACGGTAGAACTTATGTATCTGTAGAATGCGAGACGTTCATTGGCTACTCCGTGAAATTATCCATTGTTTCGCCTTTTATCACGCGCTAAGCACTATCATGTTCTTGTATGTAAGAGCCATAACAACTTTAGGTGAAGCAAAAAGTCTCAAATACGAGGTGTGGGCAAAAAGTTCGTGCACTTAATTCACCATAAATTTATTTTCAATTGTATAGGAACGGGGTCACCCTCAAAATATTCTTTCTCTGACAGAATACACTTTGCCCAACGCTTCTTCCACTGTTCAAAGCAATGTTGCATGTCATTCTTTGATAGGTTCTTCAGAAGCTTCGTCGTTTCGCGTCTTGTTTTCCATATCCCTAAAATATTCACCCCACATAATCATTTTTTACTTTAGGGAATAAAAGAAAAGTCAAGGCGCTAAATCGAGCGAATAGGATGAGTGATCCATAATAATAATATTGTTTTTGGCGATAAATTCACGCACAATGAACGTATTGTCGTGAAGCAGGATTCAGTTGTTTTCCGTCCACAATTCAGATCGCACACACCGTACATGGTCACGTAAACGTTTTAGAACTTGCACATAAAATGTAGCAATCACTGTCTCTCCTGGAGCAATTTTATGGTGCACCATTCCGCGAATGTCAAAAAAAAACAATAAGCATGGTCTTGATTTTCGACGACTTTTGCGCGTTTTTCTTTCTTCTTTTGCTACGTGGTTCACCCATTTAAACACTGTCCTACGCTTCATATCCGCATACACCGTAACATTTCATGAATTTCTGGCCCATTTTTTCCAAATTTCGCAAGAAATTTGATATTGATTCTCTGTCAAAATATCACGCTCCATTTTGACGATACTAAAAAAACTACTTTCACAATTATTGGCACAAAAACTGCATGCGCACTTATTAGTGATCAAACTTGTATTGAACGTCCGTTAGACTTCTTACTACACACCACGCCACTATAGAAACCTACGGTGTTGCCACGTCAGCAGACAAAAATTCAATTCACGGACTTTTTGTCCACACCTTGTATACCAATTCTAACATTATTAGCACAAATTTCATGCATTACAGATATTTCATACATTAATGTACGAAATGTGATAAAAAAAAACTACTAAATCTGATACAAATCAAACCAACTCTGGCAACACTGCAACACTAGCATAATCACTAGTATAATCTAATTTAATTCAACTTAACAGTAAAGAAAAATATACATGACATGTTGTTGCTAGGTTTAATTTTATATTATATGTAAAATACATTGTGACAAGTGAGACAGTTAATTCTATTTTAAATACGTGATATCGCAAAATGTTATGAATGTTTCTTCTTCGTTTACTTTTAGGTTTTGATTATCGGTGGAGGACCATGTGGTTTGCGGTCAGCTATAGAGGCACAATTATTAGGTGCCAAAGTTGTTGTTATAGAGAAAAGAGACCGAATGTCCAGAAACAATGTTTTACACTTGTGGCCTTTCGTCATCCAGGATCTACGAGGCTTAGGTGCAAAAAAGTTCTTCGGAAAATTTTGTGCCGGTTCCATTGATCATATTAGTATTCGGCAATTACAATGTATCTTATTAAAAGTTGCTTTGATCCTCGGCGTTGAATTCCACGAAAGTGTAAGCTTTGATTCTCTGATTCAGCCACCGAACAATCAGAAGGATGGTAGTAAGTAGTAATAATTAGTAATAATTAATAGTAAAATATTATAGAATTAAATGTAGTGTACAAGCATTATATATATAACGTATAAGTATTATACAGTGTATTTCCGGTATGATATAAAACATATGTTTAAAACGAACTTTTTCAATAATTTGCAAACAAAAATGCAGAATGAAGGCGACGATTTTAACAGACATGAAAGATGTTGTTAAAGTCATGATCTTGAATAACAGATTTTAACTGTTGCTTTTTATTTATAAAAAGTTATTAACAGAAAAATTTGAGAAACACCAGTGATCAAGAATTATATTCTTGATCTAAAATTAAATGTAGGCCATTAACTTTCTTTATAAATATAATTTTTCGAGAAAACGTATGTCAAGAAGTCTTGCGTACGTTCAAATAAAAAGATACACTCACAAAATAACATTTGTGATCGATTCGGTGCACTTGTAAAATTGTCCGTCCATTTTTCTTTTACTCGAACAATCGATAAATTTAAGACAATCTTAAATATAAGACCCGACTATGAATACCGTCTTAAGTCTATGATCGAACTGTACTATCTTTCCTATAAATCTAACTACTTTCTTATAAATATAATTTTTTTATAAATGTAATTCATTCGTTATTAATATTATTATTGTTCATTATATATATTATTATTTTTAATATAAATATTAGTCACTATTATTTTGTTGACGTTGTTTTTTCTTCCAGAAATTGGTTGGAGAGCAAAAACTTTGCCAATAGACCATCCTGTATCTCAATATGAATTCGATGTTTTAATTGGGGCTGATGGCAAAAGAAACACATTAGAAGGTTTTAAACGAAAGGAGTTTCGAGGAAAACTTGCTATTGCAATTACTGCGAATTTCATAAACAAGCGAACCGAAGCAGAGGCTCGTGTGGAAGAGATCAGTGGTGTGGCTTTCATTTTCAATCAAAAATTTTTTAAGGAATTGTATCAAGAAACGGGTATCGACTTGGAAAATATCGTCTATTACAAAGATGACACGCATTATTTCGTTATGACTGCGAAAAAACATAGTCTAATCGACAAAAGTGTTATTCTGCAGGTAATATAAGACTATAAATAGGTAAAATATTTATAGACGGATAAGAATTATTTATTTCATTTCTTATATTTTGAAAGGAATTTACATATTATGTGATATATATTATATAATTCCAAGAACGATAGGTGTGTGTTTGTGTGCTACATTAAATGTTTTAGTATATATAATAAAAACTATATAAAACATAAAACACATATAAAACTGCACAACAAAAACACAAAAATACAAGATCTATAACATTTAAATTCTAGTTTACTTAATATTAGATCGCAATAAAATTCTAGAAACGAAATTATTGGGGATTATTGCAAATTAAATGATAGATTTTTATAGTATGAAATATTAACTTTTTTTAATGAGTAAATTATAAATTAAAATAATTATCTCTATATAGTCTTAATATACCTTTCCCAGTGCAAAACACGAATATTTGTGTTAGTGTAAATATATATTACAGTAGTAGTCAATTATATATGATAAATAATTGAATTTTGTTTTTTTGAGGGGTGTTATATGCTTACTTGGAGTATTTTTTTTCCGTAAATCCCCTGTGTTGACACTACAGTATCTTTATTTTTAAGACTTATATAACTTACAAGAAAACCACATGAGGTATAAAGTATCTATTTTGCTTTTATTTTTGTAGGTAGGTCAGAGATCTAAAAATATATTTTGCGTCTGCAATAATAGTTTGTTGTTTACTCAGACATTCAATAGTTTTCAATTTGTTAAACAGTAAAATTTCAAACCTTGTGTCGAGCAGAGGAAGCGGAGAAGTACACGGGAAATATATTTTAAGCGGCTTGAGCGACTGACTATTTGATCAATTGCGCAGATTCAAATCTCTGCCGCTTTCGTTTTGTTTCTATTTTTTCGTTGCTGTATAATATTAAATATGCAAATAATTTTCCTTTAATTCTTTTATTTGTTCAATATTGCCACTCGTCCAATTTTCATCCAGACAGTCCGATTTTCCGGACTAGTTGTCCGGTTTTGTACAGTTATGTCAAAATTCAAAAATTGGAAAATAAATTTTCCTACATAACAAATATATAAATACGAAATTTATTTTCTTGGAATGTTGAAAGAATGACTGCGTTTGGCAGAGAAAGCAGCTCAATAAGCGCTTAGTGATTATTGTCTGTGTGACTGGAGTATTTTTTTAGATTTTTGATAAATTCAGAAGAATATGTCAATCAAGAGCGATGATGATTAGATTCAATGCAGCTACGTATTGATATTCCATTACCCGCACTACAAATCTATAGTACACGCGACATAATCTGTAGATAATCTGTAGATCTGCAGTATTGGCATTAAATATGGAAAATATATTTATTTTGTTTATTATTACATGTTTTATACATATTATTTAAATGTGTTACTACTATCTAGTTACTATTATGTATTATTATTTATTATAATGTATAAAGTAATAAACAAGGTACACACATACACACACACAAAATCCTGAGACCTTTTCCTTTTTAGTTTATTGTACGTCATTAGAAAAGTGGTAATACTATATTTGTCAATCAAGCGTTAGAAAGTAGAATAAGTCAGTAAGAGCCAAGCACAAGTGTTAAGTGCGAATATATTTTTAATTGTGGGAGGATAAATATGTATACTTATTTATGTATCGAAGCCGAATTGATAAAGCGCCGAACAAATGAGGAAGTCCAGGTTCTAGCTGAAGCAATATTTTTCGCAACATTTAAGGGAATCAATTAAGATGCATTAATTAATTAATTTCATAGTAGATATTTTTAGGGAAGGAATTTTAAATACTAAAAAAGAAAAAGAATTGGGATATAAAATTAATTCGACGTGGAAGGGAGATTCCGCCCGTATATTGAAAGTCTGACGGCACGTGCGTCATCACAATGTCGAACCCTCCCAAACTTAAAAATATATTTGCACTTAACAATTGTGCTTGGCTCCTACTAATTTGGCCTATTCTAATTTCTAACACTAGATTATACATCATAAAAACCTAATACAATATAATCTGTATTTGTCTCTAGGATCATGCTGATACCGCAAAATTACTCGCCAAAGAGAATGTAGATCGAGAGGCGCTTATGCTATATGCGCGAGAAGCAGCTGAATTTTCGACGGAATATCAAATGGTGGACATGGAATTTGCAGTGAATCATTACGGACAACCGGATGTAGCCATGTTTGATTTCACTTCAATGTACGCAGCTGAAAATGCAAGTCGCGTTTTGGAACGACATGGCCATCGACTATTCATGATTCTTGTAGGCGACAGTCTTCTTGAGGTAAATAATTTCTCATGTTTATTTACAAAATTTATTTCTGATGTACAAAAAATTTAAGTTAATTTTTCACGGTAATTGTACAAAGTTAACAGAAAATGATCATTTTTTCACGACTATAATATTTTAACACTGTTTCTTTGATTTTAACCTCTAGAGGACGGGAAGCCGACTTATCGGCTTTCAATGAATTTAACATGATCAGTATTCTTTATTTTATTTTATCGTCTGAGGAAGATGTTAGTTAAGGTAGGTGACGTTCGGAAGTGGGTGCGAGGGTTAAAAAAGAAGCTGTGTTTCGTTGATCAGTATTCTTTATTTTATTTTATCGTCTGAGGAAGATGTTAGTTAAGGTAGGTGACGTTCGGAAGTGGGTGCGAGGGTTAAAAAAGAAGCTGTGTTTCATGCGCAGATTCACATCACTTGTTTCAATACGCTTTCGATACGGAGTAGCATGTAAACAAACATACTTGTGGAACTGACAAAGAACCTCCGAAAATTCCAAAAAATCTGAAACTTTGCATATTTATAAACTAGTAGACCTTAATGGCGAAACGATTGTTTATTGGTGCTAAAAAACAGTTTTAGGGGAGAAAAACAACCCCCTATAAAAGACGGTTTTTACATTTCTAAGTGAATATCATTGAAACGAAAAGAAATATGAAAAAAATGTTTAAACAAAAGTTTTATGGCTGCGAATGTACTTTGCAATGGCGTTTCTGGATTAAAAAAAAAATTATAATATTTTTCAAAACACCTCTCATTACTTTTTTTAATATTTTGAAAAGATTTTCAAATTTTATTAAATCTTACGTTGCGCCAAATTCAACCATATGTGATTAAGTTATGTTGCGGAAAGAATCCTTGAAAAATAAAATAAAAACGTGCGTTACCTATACTAATCGTTCGCTGTTTCATGACGATTTATCTCTTTTTTTCTTTTCTTCGTAAGGTCTCGCAATACACGATGTTGAATATTCGTAATAATATTCATAGCAGATCCGGTTATACAAATTATGTAAATTATATTTATATATACGAAATATATTATAACAAAATATATGTAATAATATTTGTAATCAGTTACATAAATAATTTTTTTACGGAAATAAATTGTAGCCCTTTTGGCCAACCGGTTCTGGGTGTGCAAGAGGATTTCTGAGTTCTCTGGATGCAGGCTGGGCGATTAAGAGTTGGGGTGCTTCGTTATCACCATTAGAAGTAATTGCGGAACGCGAGTCAATTTATAGATTGTTGGGACAGACGACACCAGAAAACTTGAACAGAGATTACGCTGCGTATACTCTGGATCCTCACACGAGGTAAGCTATAATTCGATTAAGAGGAGTTATCATTTTGAGAACCAAAAAATCAATTTCTCTGTATTTTATGAAAGTATATTTTTCGCAACAATGAATTGTTCAGTAAGTAGTCTAGAACCGGAGGAATCTCATTTCTCGCCGTTCTCCGTCGGCAGTTAGCCGTTCACGCGTTTTACCTTAACCGATTGATAAGGAAAGGCATACAAGTGTTTCCCTTCAATTTTAATGAATTTGAAATATGTTGTAATTTAAATCAAAATAAGAGACACGTCTTTTTCTATATGTGCCTGTACGCACTTTTATAGGAGATGAATCACTCCTTTTTATTCAGAAAGTTTTTTTCTATTTCTTATATTTTGTACAATACGATCTATGAAAGAAAAAAACCGATTTTTACTTTATGAAATATTTCATATGATATTGGATTGGACTATGATATTGGAAAATATGAAAATGAAAAGTAAAATATCTCGAAAAGTATCCATTTTTCGATGATCTCACTTGAGTATTTTTATACGCAGAATGAACAGAGGAATCAATTTGTATCAAAAGAACTATGTAATTTCATTTAAAGAAATGAAGTTGATTTTGAGATGACCTTGAATTATTGGCTATATAACGAAGTTAAGGTCATCAGTTTATGTCCACTTTCAAATCCTAAAATTTCTATCTGAACGTTTTTCCGAATCTTCCATATTTTTTCAAAATATATGTCTGGTGCCATTGAAATAGAAATCCTGCGTTTAATTTATAATTTTGTAATTTTATAATTTCATAATTCTATAATTTTATATTTTTACAATTTACATTTAACAATTTAGAGTTTGGTCTATTTAACGATTTTATGCGATGCATATAGTTAAATGAAAGTGAGGTTTTGGTAGAAAAATAGTAGGGAATTTACGAGCACAGGCAGGAAGATTAAGGAAAATAAAAGAAAAACAGAAGTGAATGAAAAGATTGAAGAAAAAGGATAGAAGTAATAAAATTTAGATTTTTGTTATCTTTTTTAAAGGTATCCAAATCTTAATGTACGCGCTGTAACTCCGATACAAGTATGCAGCCTTCTCGACACGGATGATCCTGAGAGTGTCAAACAACCCGCAGTACAACCAGAGATTGATGTCCCAAAGAAACGAAGACGTCGTGGTGAGTTTAACGATGTTATATTGAATTTTTAATTGATTTTGATTTATGAAAGATTTTACAAGGAAACACACAATAATGTCTCCCTGCAAGTTTGTAGCATATTGTAGCCTAGAATGAAATTAAAAATATGTATTATTTTCTATAAATGCTTAATCAAGGAATAAATGTCTTTGCGAAAAAAAATTATATTTTATATTTGTGAGTGAATACTCTTATATAAGAAAAAAATAATACTAGAAATATAACGGTGCCCCCGCAACACCGGTCGGGCCGGCGCTTTGCGCCAATTTAATTTTGTTCAAAAACACGCTCTTTTTAAAAAATGCCGAACACTGGTTTAAAATAACATATTTCTTCAAACTTAATATGAAAATAAAATATTTTTATGCAGATATGAGACTTGACACGCAGACTCAAATTCATCCAGATATATTACTTCGCTGGCTGCAAAAACAAGTTGCATTGTACGACAATATTCATATCGAAGACATGGGTGTCTCCTTCAAAGATGGTTTGGCAATTTGTGCGATTATTCACCGATACCGTCCAGATCTAATTGATTTTTATAATTTAAATACAGAAGACATAGTGAAGAACAATCAACTTGCCTTTGATACACTGGAAAAGGAATTGGATATAAAGCCGGTAAGCATGTTATGCTTTTAATCTTTTAACATTCTGAAATCTCTTAACATTGCGAATACAGGGTGTTCAACGGTCCGCACAATTTTTAGAATGCTTCTGACAGTTAAAAATAGGTTGAAAGTTGAATATTCATCAAATTTTTAATAATTACAGATAATGACAGGAGAAGAAATGGCCCAATATGATACTCCTGATAAACTTGCTATGTTTTCTTATTTAACGCAAATATATGAAGCTTTCCGAGGCGAGATTCCATACATTAAACATCCAAAACTGGTAAGTAATTGTACAGATTGGTTTATTTTAATACAATATAAAAATGTGATCATCGAAGGCTTATATTTAGGTGTATAAATAAGTTCGGTGCCTTTCTAGCATAATTTTAAAGTTTATTCACAAAAAAACGAATAACCTGTGAAATAATCCTCATCATTTTCCACACTTTTTTGCCAATCTTTCGGGCATCTGGCGAATCCCGCTTCGGTTAAAGGATAGTGGTTTTTTCATTCATGGAAATCATCGATGCTTTTTGTTGACTTCCTCAGTAGATTGAAAGTGGAAATCCACCAAATGATGCTTAAGCGACACTGGAATAAGTGATAATCTATAGAGACCATTTCTGGAGAATAAGCCAAATGCGAGAGAATTTCCCAGCCTAAAGAAGAAACAAGTTCCAAGGTCGCTTTTGCCATGTGTGACCGCGCGTGTCGTGTAGTAGAATCACCTGCCTGGTTCCACTGCCGGTAACTAATCTTTTATGTTCGATTTCGTCACTTAAATAAGTGAGTTACTGTTGATAACGTTCAGAAGTAACAGTTTCACTGGGTTTGAGCAACTCATAACGCCTTTAAAATCCCATCAAATACATAACACTTTTTTTAACGTGAATATTCGATTTCACAATATTGGTTGATGGCTCACCCGAATGAATCCATGATTTTTGTCTTTTGGACTTGTCGTACGATATCCATTTTTCAGTCACCCAGTCACAATTTTATGAAGAAAGTCTTTTTGTTTGAATCGTGACAGCAGGGACAATGTTATAGCGTCTCATTTTATTTTCTGGGATAAACATTCGAGGAACCCACCAGCGGCCTACCTTTAACAATCTTCCAAACTTCTTCGAGCGTACGGAAATAACTAGTTGAGTTAGATCAAATTCTTTGGCAAGTTCTTGTCTGACAAAGATTTTCATTCAATAGTTGTTCCAATTTTTCGTCTTCCACTTTTTTCGGCATTCCACTGCGTCCTCGATCAGTAAGATCGAAATTATCTTCTCGGAACCTATGGAACCACTTTTTATCAATCTTATGAAGCATCCTCACTCAAAGCGGAATAAATCATTTCAACAACCTGAACAGCGTGTTTGTTTAACTGAAAAGCGAAAAAAAATACAATGCCTCAAATGCTCCTTTTCGGACGACGTTCATTACTGTTTTTTGAGGTTATGTGGCTATGAGGCAAGGTCGCCAAATATTATAGTGCTTCTTAAAGCTTAAGATTAGCACTTTCAAATTATCTTAGGCCGGGAAAAAAATGTAAATTTGGACCAGAGTTACAAGACGTCAAATGTAAAGGCACCGAACATATTAACACCTGCCGAAGATATACAATATGTCCGACTTAAATAGAGCTGTGCAATTATTTCGTAAGTGATGACAAATGCAAGAGGAATTGCTTATACAAAAATTAATTTGCTTTTAAAAAAAGATTGAATTTTCCCCCCCAAAAAACGAAGAACTTTCTACTATACTAGTAATAATTTCAACATTTGTATACACTGATCTCAAAAGTTATTTGAATCTTTCCAGATGTTAAATTAATAGCACATTTGAATGTAAGGGTTTTTCTTACAGGAACATGAAACGGAAGATGGTGTTATGCATCCAAAGCAGTTAATGTCTGAGCAAAAGATTACGAAAGGCCGACGCTCCACACGACATTTAAGTGATAATGTGCAACCTTACGTGGATAAAAAAGGCGATATACCTAGTCGACGTTCCCGAAAAAGACGTAGTACAGAAAAGATAGGAATGACAATGGTGAGTGAAATAAATCTTCTGTCAATTTATGTTTTATAACAGCTATTGATTGGATAAAAAAATAGATGCACTATATTCAACAAGGTTAACAATGTTCATGATGTTTACAGTTAATGAGCTCGGAGAGTTTTTTTTTTTTTCTAAATGTCTCGTTGACAACTATATTATAAATACAGTCCCTTTTATATCTAAACATTTACTTCCCGGCGTTAAACTGTAGGTCCCATATATATGTGTATAATCAGCGTGCGCAGACATGTGAGAGAGGTCACTTTATGCCTGGCCACAGGCAATAGGACTGAAAAAAGAAGATATCCTGAACATGAGATTTAAAAATTTGACATATTACATAGTGTTATGAATTTTTCTGAGACGTCCTTTACATATAGAATGTTGAAAAACCGAATGTTAGATTGAGATAGCGTTCTATTGACGGTGCAACGTATGTTATTGAATAAAGACCATATGTTTCAATTGATCAATCCACTTTGAGCCCATATCAAACTACTGACTGTGAAGGCCGACCGGACTGCCGATTACGATTGCCAACTCTTAATGGACCAATTACAATAGACTAGTTACATAACGCTTCATTATGATAGGCCCTTCAAGAGTCGACAGTCGTAACCGCCAGTCAAACCGGCCTTCACAGTCAATAGTTTGATATGGGCTTTATAGAAGAAAACTGAAATAATGACTGCGTTCAGAAAACATTGCGATTAGTGAGTCAATAATTATTGGTTTTTTTAGTTAGACCCTTAAATTTAAGGCAATTACATTGACGAATTATTTAACCGTTATGCAATTTTATGATCTGCATACTTTTTGTTATAAATTTTTATAAAGTCTCTCATGAAAACAATAATCATCTAAAAGATTATCTAGATAATTAGCGCTACTTTTATCTAGATAAAAGCCAAGTCATCATCATTTCAGATGAATTTTTCGGATTTTTATCTTATCTTCATCTATATGAATCTGAAATCATGAAACACTAGTTGTAATATTGGATGTGAATTTAACTCATTATCTCATTTATAACTTAACTTATTTATCTCATTTTTAATTGCTATTTTCGTAGTATAAATCGCGGAAATTCTTTTTATTAATATGTATTATACTCCACAAAAAGAAATTGATATTTTAATCGGAACTATCGAAAATTTTGAAGTACTAACCTTACATACCTAGAACATAATTTAAAAATGTCACCGCGTGTTTCTGTAACACTTTATT